CCGCTTAAACAACTTTATTTTAGCGCATGCTCAGAACGTGACACAAACTACATAGACTCATCCCAAACAGCCTGTGCCTGTCTTCAACAGTGAAGGGACACAGAGCAGAAAACATTCTGCAGAAAGTACAACTTCAACTTCCCAATGACAATCTCCAAGTGGCCTCAATGACTCTCTAAAAAAATGCAAATGACCATCTGTCTGCAAGGAATATAAATCCTTCCATTCCCAACAATCCAGTCAGAGCTGAAGAAGCTCCTTGAATGAGAAGCGAAACGTTGTCCAGTTCAAAAGTCCAGTTGCCTTTTGAAAAAGCACCTTTAGGATACTCATCCTTATAGTTGTGCCAAATTTTAGTAACCTTACTTTCTAACCCTCATCCAAGTAATTTATAGATATGTTGAATGACAATTGACAGTTCTTCCAGCTTGATGGGAAGCCAAGTATGTTTGTCATTTTTTATACTCAGAACATAATTAATTTTTTTAAATTGTTTGACAAATTTGTCCATATAGCCACGCGGCATATGGTTTTTACTTATAGGTCTTACTGAAAATTATAAAATTGTAATCAGACAGAAGCCCTTTATCAGTGGAACACCTGGTCAGAAACCTAGCTTTATTTTTTTCCATTATTATTATTATTATTATTATTATTATTATTATTATTATTATTATTATTATTATTATTATTATTATTATTATTANTGCTATTGCTATTGCTATTGCTATTGCTATTGCTATTGATTATGACATCATTCTATGATTTACAAAGCATTTTAGCATTAACACATCCCCTAATTACATTAAACTCTACCCAAGAGATTTTGCTGCTACTAGTACATAAATAAAAAGTTTAAAATTTTCCAAATCCTAAAGTAGAATTGTAAAACGAGGCAACTGGGCTATAGGTATTTTCAATCACCAGATGTGTCTTTTTTAAGGGAATATGTTTAATTTCATAAAGTCCATTATTCCCGTGGTATTTGTGATTACTAAAATTTCAGTCTGGCAACCATTGTTGTTTCCAAATCCTGCTTTGGAAACAACAAGTAATTAAAATGTATGTGATATAAGTATATGAAAATCACAGCACCTTTATAAATATTGATATATGGAATAGTTTCTACAATCTGTAACCTAATAATAGATGCTATGCTTTTGGTATATAAAAAATACCTAACACATATTATTGCAACACAATAATTACAAAGCTTGCAACACTTCATCAGAACTTCCAAATATGTCAGTATAAAACACAACACATTTGGAACTAAATGACACAACTTAGCTAATGACTCATGTTGAGACCTGCACTTCATTATTTTATTCATATCAAACATCACTTCCCTACATAATTCTAGAGTTTTTATGTATGCAAAACATATGGCAGAAGACTTCCATAAGGTTTATTGTCCTGAGGGGATCCTGTGCTCAATTACAAATCAAAATGATTTACAGATCAAATGAAGTTCATGTTTAAAATAATAACTAATGGTTTGGGGTTTTTTTTTTAAACTCCAAAAGCATTCTGGAGAGAAAAGCTTCCCAAAAAAACAAGAAGTTTGTATAGTGCAATAGAAGGGCCTCCACGCTAAAAGAGAAAAACGACTTAAAGATACAATGTCTTCTATATGATAAGGGAGTAGTTCCCACAAACATTTTTGTTTCAATTACTATTACCAGAGAGTTTAAAGACAGAACATTTCTAATAATAGAAATATAGAGCTGGTTTCACAAAACTAATCTGAATTACAAATAATGCAATGGCTTAAAAATATTTTTAGCTTCAAAAGCATTTTTAAATAAACTCTAAGACAGACTGGGGAAATTTCATTTTCTTCCTTCAAACAGCAGTCCATCAATATTATCTTAAAAACACTTCCAAAATTTATGCATAACATTACATATCAGCCTGTTCTTTGAGAAACATAAACCCTCTAAACCCATTCAGACACATTCAATCAGTTTTGTCTTTCTGAACCATAATATTTTTTTTGCTACACATAAGCAACTTAGTTCTATTTACTGTTCATGAAATAAATCTAGATCTTATATTTAAAAGTGTATTTTGCATTCTACCTTTACCTTTTATAACAATAAAACTGTATTGTATTAGCCGCATTAACCTTGCACAATTTCAATAAATATGAACAATAATTTATTTAGAAAGTGAAATCAATGAGAACTATTGATTTCTTATATTTAAAATTATTGCGTTCCATCCTGGAATTCAAAACAAAGTTCCCAAGAAATTTTCAACACAGACTTGCAGTACTTGTTTATTATTTATTATTGATGTTTTATTAATCAATTAATGGTATTAATACAGATTAATCCTCACTTACTGATTGTCTCATTTAATGAACATTCAAAGTTACGACAGGGTTAAAAAAAAGCTTTGCGACCAATCGTCACAGTTACAATGTTACATGGCCATATGATCACCATTTGTATCCCATGCAACTGGGGCATGTTTAAAAACATTGCAGCATCTCGCAAACAAATGTCCACGATTTGTGTGTTTCACTTACAACAAGCAGAATTAATAGAGAAGGCAGAAGTAAAATTGTAAAGTTATGATCAATGGTGTTTCACGTAATGACCACGGTGTCTCGTTTAACCAAAAGGGAAGTGAAATTGTTATGTCCATTGCGGTCATGTGATGTTTTGCTTAGTGACTGCAGCCCTTAGCAAAAGACTTGGAGGTCCCAATTTGGTCACTGAACAAGGACTATCTATAGCAATAGCAATAGCAGTTAGACTTATATACCGCTTCATAGGGCTTTCAGCCCTCTCTAAGCGGTTTACAAAGTCAGCATATTGCCCCCAACAACAATCCGGGTCCTCATCTGAGTGGAAGTTTGAAAGATTCTAGCTTGTCAATTACNCCAAAAGACACTGTCTAGCAATAACCCTATAATAGTTACTCATGAACATTTTTTTAAAATAATCTTTTTTTTAACAATTGCTCTAAGCGTTAAAGTTTGGACTAAAACTGCACCAATGTAAGATTTCAAAATATGTTTTGGATAAGGCTGAAGAAGTATATGGACCAATCAAAAGACATTTCTGACAATACAAAATTAAGACATTGAATAATATGCTTTTAGACGTTGAAAATCCCAAGAGTTTCTACAACTACCTTTCAATTCATTCTTGTTTTGTCTATTTCTCTTTCTTGGCACTTTATTAGCTTTAATTAAAAAATAGATAATGATTTCAAAACTACATAATTTTTTTAAAATTTAAAGTAGTGGTCTTTTTTAGTGTATCAGAAATTAAAGGAAAACATAAAAAATTCACTCAAGGACTATTTGTTAGCCTTTCAAAGGTAAATGGGTGGAATTTATTATAAAACATTTAACTTTTTTGTTTTACATTTCTAATAATAAAAAGTTCTGTTCATTTAACTGACAATGGGAACAGATGCACATACATGGACTAAGAATTTCTAGAAATAAAACTACTATTAATCTGAAAATAGAGTTGAACGCCAAAGCAGTGAAGGATCAAACTTCTTTCCAACTTCAGAACAGAAATTCATAATGATAAATCAAATCTTGCTTCAGCTACTGCTTTGCATGTCTCAAATTCATTCATTTTTCAAAAATACAAATTGTTTTACATTAACTGTAAAAAATGAAACATTTTAATAGGCAATCCTTCTTAGTTAGATTTGGGGATGCCAAGAATACAGATTAACTATAATCCATTTTTTTAACCTGACAGAAGCCCCAAATGAGAAACATTAAAATGTGAATATTTTAAACCTGGACTAAAATTAATTTTGTGTCCTTGAGAATATCCCTCTGTGATGAATTATCTATTTTTCTTTTAATACCTCTAAGTATTTAGGGTCACTTAAGATATAATAATATAAATGAGCGGAGAAAGGTAACTTCAAATAAGTAAAACATCTATTATTTAGTTTTATAAAATAAGAAAATAAGTAATTCTATGCCAGGGACTGCTAAATTCTACAGTACAAATAATTTATATACTTTATTAATATATTAAACCGCACAACTTTCTTTGAGAAAGAATCTGAATTCCAGCTGAGAGCTTTTCAGTCATGGGTAAGAAGAAGGGAAGAGAACTTGAGAAGAATATTGATAATTAATTCAATTGGGGTAGTTATCTATAAAATGATATGCTTTTTGAAACATTAATCAATGTGAAAATAGTAGATAGTGGGTTTCCAAGAATGTATACCAGTAATATTTTTACGAAATGTACATAGAAAGGTAGGAAATCCTAAGAGGAAAACTGGACTGAATATATTTAGTAAAATAAATAAAAGTAAAATCAGTGAAACATATAGTCATATTCTATTCTATAATGGACTAGGTAAGGCAATTTCCTGTGAATAATTTAGATTACAAATATCAGGAATCCCAATTTCTAAGATTAAGAAGTGAGAAATTATAGAAGTTAAGCGTAACATCAAGTCCTGCCAAAAAAAACCTGATTTTTTTTAATGAAAAACCAGAACAAATTGATTTGATATCAGTTGAAGGAAGGACTTCAAAAAGTACTTTACAAAAAACTCAGACATTTAACTTTACAACAGTAACAAGATCCGAAATGCATTGATCTTGTATTTAATGTTTAAAAGAATTTCATATACAATGAAGATGAAATTTTCTGCAGTAATTTGTATACTGCCTGCAGAAAACATTTTTGCAACAAAAAAAATTGCATGCCATCTATAATGTGAGAGAAAGGTACTGTAATGATATGTTGAGTGAGAGACGAGGGAAGTGGTTGGATAAGGGATATCTTAGCCTGTTGCAGGACTGTAGATGTGGCAAATGTCTCAGAAGGAACCCTCCCTAATTTATTGGGCTCTAAAGATGATGGGAAGAAATGAAATTTCAGACTTGAAAAGATTTTGTTAATGTAATTTTACAATAAAATAGAGCCATGGTGGCACAGTGATTAGATCACTCCTGCTCACTGCCAGGGTTGACTCAGCCTTCCATCCTTTTCACTACTTACCCTTGGTCCAGTTACTCCAACTGGCCCAATAGGTCCTTCTTCTCCCTAAAGCAAAAGAAGGGCAATCATTTGCATTTACTGTACAAATCTTTGTAATGTAACCCTGAACATCTTAATGAGACTATGTATATACTTAAAGGGACACGGTGGCTCATTGGCTAAGACACTGAGCTTGTTGATCAGAAAGGTCAGCAGTTCAAATCCCTAGCGCCGCGTAACAGAGTGAGCTCCCATTACTTGTCCCAGGTTATGCAAACCTAGCAGTTCGAAAGCATGTAAAAATGCAAGTAGAAAAATAGGAACCACTTTTGGTGGGAAGTTAACAGCTTTCCGTGACACTTCTCATTTAGTCATGCCGGCCACATGACCACGGAGATGTCTTCGGACAGCGCTGGCTCTTCAGCTTTGAAACAGAGAGTCCCCTAGATTCGGAAATGACTAGCACATATGTGCGAATGGTAACCTTTACCTTATATACTTAAAGTTAAGAGATTACAGAATAACGATTAAGTCATAAGCATATATTTATATAGGAGTAAATCTCACTGGATTCAATAGGACTTATTTCTGGGTAGAAACATGTAATATTTCTTTGTGCATTGATAGTTGCAAATTCAGGTACATAATATTACATGTCTAACTCTGCTTAATTGAATATTAATTAATTGTAAATTGTGTTTTCTTTAGGATGCTTTAGGTAGACTTCTATGGGTTCAGTTTTAAAAGAAAAGATGTCTCTTTTCTCTTAAGAGATGGGCATTAAAATACACATAACTTGTATTTAATTTATACATTAATATATTTATTCTACAGAATGCAAAACATAGTCCTTCCTAGTGTGTGTAAGATATCAGATTTAGTTCAGACAGGTGCCACCAAAATAAGTATGTTATTGATGGGCTACAGTTTATACTTCACATTTGCCAGAGAAAAATGTAGTAACTTTCCAAGTTAAAAGTAAGATCAATCACACAGGATTGGATCCCAGTTCCAAAAACAAAAGTGGGCTTTTTGAGAGAAAAATCACCTTACCTCAACTCCTTTGGGACCAGGTGGACCGAGAGGACCTCTGTCACCTAGAAAACCCTAAATAACATAAATCGTAAGATTAATGGACAGGCATAATATGGCAAAAAGCATAGAGGATTAAAGTTAAGAAATGTTAACTTTAATTGATATTTCCCCACTTAATGTTGTAATTGTTTCTCTTAGGAAGCCTCAACTATTAAGGCTATTAATGCTCACTTGAGCGTCTCTGTAAAAGTACAATATGCATATAATTATGTACACATGCATGCCAATTATGTGTTAAAAGCTTAAAAGCTTTTACTTAAATGGAGATTAAATTGTAATCATTTCCTGCTTAAACCATTAATCCTGGATTAGACATATGCATTAATTTTTATTTTTCATACTGCAGGTGGGAAAGCAGCTGCAAAGGGCGGATTCTGATCATAAAAACAGCAACAGATAAAGGATTTATCATCATCTCCCACTAGCAGCACTTCAGCAATAATATTTGAAGTCAAAGAGTGTATATCATAAATAAGTGAGCTCAGCAATCACAGATGTTTTAGCATCATATAAACGTTAGGGTTATTTCTTTTTCACTTTTCTATGACTGTTTTCTATTTTCCTTATCTTAAAATTTGCATTGTTTTTACTCTATGGAAAAAACATTAAGAAGAATTATAAATGGATGGATGGATGGATGGATGGATATAGCCTAAAAAAGAGGAAGGTATGCAACCTTGTCCCACTTCGTCACCAACCTGGAACCAGCATTTCACTATGTTCTGTCCATATTGTGTCCTGACCTGTATCAAACTTTGTCAAGAGGGCCATAAAATATTCTGGGGTCCCCATTTTCCTGAGTAGTTTTTACAGCTTAACCTAATTTACAATTGTTTTTATAATCACTGAAGCTGATGAAAAATACTTCTGCATTAATCAGATGAAATGTATTGTTTTTTCACTTAATCAAGGAGTTATCCTTTATTCTTTCTACTTTGTAAGGCTTATTTTAATAAATGTCTGAATAACCTAGCTGCTACCTCTGTGAAATTTTCTACACTCACATGTTGACCAGGGGTGATATCCACTTACTTCCCTATCGGTTCGCAAATGTGAGCACATGCCACCACCACGCATGCACTCAGCCTTCCGCGCACTTTTGGCAAAACAAGGGCCTAAATGGGATGCCGTAGAGCCAGGGCAGGTGGGCGAGGCTGCCCGTGATTTCCGCTACCGGTTCAGGCAAACTGATCCGAACTGGTAGAATACCATATCTGATGTTGACTCAAAAGTAAAACACCATGATATTCAATAGTTCGTATTTTCTCATAAGATCTAGCCTTCCCCGAATGGAAGTATATCTCTGTGACAGTAGTGGTATGAACTGAATTACATTAAATTAAATGTTTACCACATAGCAGAGATGAAAGAGAGTAGGAAACTCAAATTACAACATAATCCAAGCAATGCAGATAGCATCTCATCTGTGGATGGGTCTTTTGGCTCAAGCAGAGATTTAAATAGTTTTTATATAACCCAGAGTGCATTGACTCAATGTCTGGATATTATAAAATGGAAAAATCAAATCACTTCTTCTGTCCATTTACATTAGAAACTTTATTGGTTCTATTTCCAAGTTAATGGGGAATTTACATAACATTGTGGTGTATATACTGTATGTGTCATTTGTAGAAAGAAGTAATTTGGGAAGGAACCAACAGTCATTTAACAGAATTTCAAAGCTAGAAGCATCCTTCTGTTCTTGACCGGTACCCATTCAGTCGCTAGCTCTATATGTCAGTGAAGATTATTTAACAAGATTTTAGATCAAACATATTTTATTTCTAGCACTCTTCTGTCAGTCTCAATTCATAAATACATTTTAAAAGAATCGAAAGGTATTAGCATAGGTCACAAAAAACAACAGTTACAGTATTTATAGAATGCTTTGTAATCATTGCATAGGTTGCTTTTCTTCTTTTCTGATATTTTTAAAATAGGAATAAAATGAAATGCCCTGCTTGGGAAAGATCACATTGGACTTTTAAAAAAAAACAAAACAAAAAAAAAAACTTCTTGGGATAAGAGAAAATAGCTGGCTCAAGGTTATCCAGCTGCCTTTATGCCAAAATGGAACTAGCATTGCTTTTCTTTATCCCCCATTTTCCCTTCTTTCACTGAGCCGCGGTGATGCAGTGGTTAGAGTGCAGGCTACTTCTGCTGATTGCTGGCTGCCTCCAATTTGGCAATTCAAATCTCACCAGGCTCAAGGTTGATTCAGCCTTCCATCCTTCTGAGCTTGCTAAAATGAGGATCCAGATTGTTGGGGGCAATAGGCTGACTCTGTAAACCACTTAGAGAGGGCTGTAAAGCACTGTGAAGCAGAATATAAATCTAATTGCTAATGCCATTCCTTCACTTCAGTAAGTCGAAGGAATCAAACGGTGGTAATAGATATCCATCAATTCGATAGATGTAGTATAACCAAGTAATTCAGAATGCATACACGATAGATTTGACTATAGAGTACCAACTAAATTATTTGCACAGCCTTTTTGTTTCATCTGCCCCACCCAGGAGATGGACGACTCCCTCGATTTTTGCTACAAACAGGAGAGAGGAAATCTTGTAGCAATTTCCCAGATCACCGATACGATGCGTAAACCTGTAACAGTGACCAGAGCCCCTCTTCACTGTTCTAGATTTTCCTGGTTTCTAAAATGATGCCTTTAACCACTGCACCTAACTGGTCCCCTGATGTAGAGAACCAGTAGAGAAAGCTATCTGTGGACTCACATGCTTAATCCCAATCTATAGCAGATCTATGAGTACCCAGATTCCCAGACCTCCAACACTGAAAAGAGTTTGAGTGGGACCCACCTACCATTGTCCTATGTAGAAACAATCTGCAACAAAGTTACCAAACACAATGGTGCTAATGACATGCTTTAAACGAATTACAGTAATCTAACCGTTAAGATATGTAACCTTAATGCCACAATGTTTGATACAAAATCTGTAAGCTGCTTCATTATGATGTTGTTCTTGTGATGCAGAAATCAAGAGATATTACCTAAAAGCACAACCGGGGGGGGAGGGAGGGAACAGATACAGCCCAAATAATCTTTTAAAAATTAAATAAATTATAGTACATTAGAGGATTGATAAAAAAAGAGCCAAACAGTTTCCCACATGTTCTTTACAAGGTGAATTGGGAAGACAGTGATGGAAAGAAAATGTCATTATGAAATTGTCTCATTGCCAAGAGCCAACATTTTACATTAGTGTTAATATAAAAGGCTTTGTCATGCTTTCCTGGAAGCTATATTTATATATAAATTTCAAGGGAGAAGAATGAGGAAAAGAAGAGTTTAGCAAGACAGTCTTCCAAGAAAAAAGAATTCCACAAAACCTCAGTCAGTACGTGACATCTGGGAGTACTAAAGATGAACAATTCCAGTTTCACATAGGTCTGGGATCATCTGATAATGGACTCTGTAAAAGCTTTCCATTTAGGTAATGTTCATCTCAAATGTAAGCCACCAATTTTCTCTAATTAAAGAACATATCCTCCATTTATGCAAGTCAAAATGTTACATGGAAAGGAGTCATCCTTGCATCAAAAAAATTGTTCAGCTTCCAGCTAAATAATCAGCATTCTGACTATGATCTTTGATTAACAATCAACCAGCATAGCAGGATTTGGGAAGAAGCTGGACCCAGCTTCTTTAGCCAACTATCGTCCGGTCTCCAACNCTACAAAGTCCCTTCCAACTCTGTTAATCTTGTCCACTAGTAGGAAGCAGAGCTCAACACAGTATCTCAGCAGTAGGAAGGTTCCACACAAGGTTAGCAGTCCAAAATCAAAGTGGGGGGAAATGGCCAGGGCATTTCAAGGCTGGATTGTTAGGATTTGAGAAGTTTTACATCAATAGTTGTTCTGACACAATAGGCACACTCAAGGTATGGCTGAAAGGAAGAGACTCTTGCTCATAAGAGTTGGGCCTGAATGATTCAAGAGGTGCAATAACACTAGCAAGACAGAATAGTTCTGATTTATTAGTAGATTTATTGGAGCTTCTCCTAGCCTCATGAAAGAAATTGGAGTATGTTAGATTCAGAATTCTTGGGAGTCTTCAATGGGTGGTTTCTCTGGAATCCTCAACCCATCTTCTCTTCATTCCCCTTGGATAGGTAGATGGTCTTTGGTGGTGAGAGCTGATATTTACGATAATCTAATCTGATCTGTTTTGTTGTGATCTGCTCCTTTATTTAGCAGGGATGACACATTCACTGTGCTAGTCTATCCATAAATAGCTATCTCTTGTTTTATTCTGATTCATATTCCGTGAATCAGTTAAAAATAGTGGATCTTAGATTGCCTGATATGGGATTTCATCCATACACCTCCAGGTTAGCTGGCTTTGTTTCTCCTGAATATATTTGTCCACAAGCAAAGATATCATTAAAATTGAGAATCATGGCAACATGCTCTTCTGATCACTGGAATTGCCATCACTTCTATTTTTTATCAACTGCGTACATTCATGAATGTATGTCTTCATTCTTTTTCTGTACATGGCATCAATCATGTGTGCCTACCTGATATCCATCCATCCATCCATCCATCCATCCATCCATCCATCCATCCATCCATCCATGTTGTCATAGGAAAATTCCAATAGGAAACAAAGGCAACAACCCAAGCAATAATTCTTACTTTAAGATCAGAGGATTATTGTTTCTAATAATTTGGAACACTAGAAATGAGTAGATATAAAAGATATAATAGCAGTAATACACTGCATTAACAAATAATTGCAGTGGGCCAATGAGAAATAGCAAGGACTGCTACAAGGACTGCTATAACTCAAAGAGCTCTGAGCCAATCTTGAACCCTATCCTTTATACTGTTCTTCTAACCACATACATGGTTCACAACTGCTGTCACTTTCCGTGAACACTTGTGTACATTATTTTCAATTCCTCATTTCCAACAGTTTCATTCTTCCTGTTTTAAACGAATCCATACAAGTGCATATTTTGCAAAAAAAAAAAGCTTATTTCA